GCCATGACTTACTCCACAAAAAGTTCCAATACTGCATTAAATGATTATTTAATTAGAATATTAAAAACAATTCCAATAGGTTTAATTAAAAATAATAAATAAAGCTAAGATTATGAGAACAAACCAACTCAATTTGTTTTGCTTTTATTTGTATGACGAAAACCACAGAACCTGATGGGATGTATAAATTATGAGTGGGATAAAAATAATATAAAAGAAATCTGTACATATGTTCCAAATATAAAAGTGTAGTACAATTCAACTAAAATAAAAAATGGCAGAACTAATACATTTTTAAATAATATATATGTATAAAGTCCTAAATGGCCAAGCTGAATATTTTTGGAGGTAAGTCCCATTGGATTTAATGATAGTTTTTCAGTAAATGATCATAGGACTGTGATTTAAAAAGTTGCAGATGAATACATAGGAAAACTAATAAGTCAATAATGATATTTAAGATACTCAATTTTATAATCTCCATGCACAAGAAGCTGGAGATTAATACTAAAGAATATTGCTATTATGCTCCAATGGTGTGTTTTGGTTTTGGCCATGTACAATATATATTCAGCTGATAAAAGAACAATTTTTATCTAATAGAACCATTGTTCTGGCCTAGCCTAATGCTTATTTTTTATAATCCTTGAATTATATTCATTGATTTTCACTGTTATATTCATACATTGTTTATTATACTTGAGAATATTATATTCATATCATTTATTATACTTGAGAATGACATTGAGCATCCACAGCATTCTGCTGCCCAGTCTTCAACAAAAATATCCTTTAAAATTTACAGTATTAAGTACAGTACAGTTTAGCAACGATGCTAAACATAAGATAACAGGAAATAATGCAGTTAGATTGCTTTTAATAATTCATATCATTAAAAGATATAAAAATATTTTCAAAATTTTGACAGAAACATGTGAGCAGTTGTAATGATACACAGTAGCAATGCTGTTAAATAAAAACCTTGACATAAATTCTGAACTCTCTCCAGGAACTTTGAACATAATATAGTACATTCAGAATTTTTCCTCTTCTCCTCCCCCCTTTAAGCAAACACACTCACAATAAATAAATAGCCACGGTAAATAAAACAGTCACATTACACAGCTTAAAGTTCCTAGCATCTTCTACTTATCTACAGTCAATTTTACTTTTTATCCTGGTCTTATAATTTTCCAAAACGTTGCCTCCAATATGACAAATGTTAAGTGTGGCTGTTGATGCAGGAAAAATAGGGCACCTAACTTTTAATCATCTTTAAACCACATTGTTCATTCAAAACAATATGAAGATTTGTAATATGACCAAGCTTGCAATTTCACCAAGGCTTAACACAAAACACAGAAGAGAAATAATGGGATCAGATTTAAGGAAGCTGAGAGAAATAGAGTATTTCTGTCTTTGTTCTTACTTGCACTGCTTGAAAATTGCTTTTAACCCTGACTACAGGTAATCCTCAACTTATGATCACAACTGAGCCCAAAATTCATGCTGCTGAGAAATTTAGGTGAGTTTTGCCCCATTTTACGATTATTCTTGCCACATTTGTTAAGTGAATCACTGCAGTTGTTAAATTAGTAACACGGTTATTAAGTGAACCTGGTTTCCCCATTGACTTTGCTTGTCAAAAGGTTGCAAAAGGTGATCACATGACTCCAGGACATTGCAATTGTCATAAATGTGAGTCAGTTGTCAAGCATCTGAATGTAAATCACATGACCATGCGGAATGCTGCAAAAGTCATAAGTGTGAAAAATGGTCAAGTGCTGTTGCAACTTTGAACAGTCACTAAGCAAACTATTGTAAGTCAAGGATTACCTGTATTATGTCTTATAACTCAAAATACTAGGCACCGGAATTCATCGTAAAGTGTACAGTTTTGCTTTCTGAGATATAAAAACATTTTAATGTATACTGACATTGCTGTCCAGTAATTTGTTATCATGCTCTTGAAGGCTTGAAATTAGGCTTTTATGAACCTGGTTATACCTGGATGAGAGACCACTGGAACACACATATAAATGGCACAAAGCCTTGGCTCTGCAATATACAGAAAGCAAAAGTATTTATGTATTTTTTGTTTTATTTGAATCCCATCTATATTATTTTTGAAATAATTCAAGTTGGTGAATATATGCAGCACACCTTCCTCCTCCTAGTTCTGGCACAACACCAACCCTGTGAGGTGGGCTGGGCTGAGAGAAAGTGACTGACCCAAAGTCACCATATAAACCATACAAGTTACACTTTATTAATCTTCAAGCTATCCTCATCTTAAAAGATTTTAGAAAGCATGCACAGAACTGCAAATGAAAATTCAAGACAAACAAAACTGCACGCTCAAATACAGATAGTCCTCGACTTATCACAGTTCATTTAGCGACCTTCCAAAGTTACAACGGCCCTGAAAAATGTGACCTTTGCACCATCCCCAGGATCATGTGATCAAAATTCGACGGGTAATTGCTGTGTCCCAAGATCACATGATCACCTTTTGTGACCTTCTTACAAGCAAAGTCAATGGGGAAGCCAGGTTCATTTAACAATTGGATTACTAACTTATCAACTGCAGTGATCCACTTAACAACTGTGGCAAGAAAAGTCATAAGAGGGGGCAAAACTCACTTCACAAAAGTTTCACTTAACAGAAATTTTGGGCTCAATTGTGGTCGTAAGTTGAGGACTACCCATACAAATAAATTATCGCTTAAACTGGAACACTTAAAAGACACTTTTAAGCAAAAGATACAGCACTATGTAATAACTGATTCACTAAGAACCCATGTAATGTAAAGGGTAACAATATATAGCTGAATTCCATAGTATTTACTTAAGGCAGTGGTTCTCAACCTGTGGGTCGGGACCCCATTTGGGGTCGAACAACCATTTCACAGGGGTCGCCAAACAACGCAGTCCGCCATTTCCCCCCCCCTTTTCCTTAGCTGTGCTACTCCCTTTTATTCTATTGGCTTTTGAAAGCCAATAGAATAGACTCTCTTGAATAGAGTCTAATTCTATTGGCTTTCAAAAGCCAATAGGAATTGTCCAGGCTGTCTCTGCCCTGCTGAGCCCGCCAAAAGTCCCATTCTGCAAACGGTGCTGCACCAGTTGAGTAGTCCTCGACTTACGACCGGTTGAGTAGTCCTCGACTTACGACCGGTTGGGGGGTCGCGGCATTAAAAAGGTTGAGAACCACTGACTTAAGGTGTTCCCAGCTTACTATAAGAGTGGAGTCAGTTATTCTACACCAGGTTTCCATTGTAGGAAAATTTAGACACACACATATATAAAAGCACAGTAAGATTACAGGACAAGCAGGATTACGGCAAGACATCAGGACTTATTATTGCTGGCAGTACCCATATCAAGCCTTGGGCAGGCAATAAATCAATTCAGGGTGATCCAATGCCCTAGATCAGTGGTTCTCAACAATTCTGGTCTCGGTACCATTTTACAACGGTAACATTCCTAACAGTTCGCTTAGTTCAGGGGTAGGCCACCTTGGCTCTTTTATGACTCGTGGACTTCAACTCCCAGAATTCCTGAGCCAGCCACGCTGAGGGGAAAGGGAGAGTTTCCAAGCTGAGCCATGCTGGCTCAGGAATTCTGGGAGTTAAAGTCCACGAGTCATAAAAGAGCCAAGGTTGCCTAGCCCTGACTTACTTATTGTTCAAAGTTACAGTAGCACTGAAAAAAAGTGACCTATGACCATTTTTTTCACACGACCCGTTGCAGCATCCCCCAGGGTCACGTGATTTACATTCAGAAGCTTGATAACCGACTCGCATTTATGACCGGTTGCAGTGTCCCGGGGGGGTCATGTGATCCCCTTTCGCAACCTTCCGACAAGCCAAGTCAATGAGGAAGCCAGATTCACTTAACGACCCGGTGCTAGTCATTTAACAACCGCAGCGATTCACTGAACAACTGTGGCAAGGAAAGTCGTAAAATGGGGCAAACCTCAACTTAACCCATGTCTCGCTGGAGCCATTTAAATCTGAGGGGGGGGGAAATCCGTTGTGGTCGTAAGTCGAGGACCCCCTGCATTTAAAAATGACCCCAGGACTCCCCAAGAGCTTTGCTTTACCCATCGATGTTTACTGGGTTAGAAATTAAAGCAAACATTCCAAAACAGGCGTCGGTTGCCGGGAGGGGGGGGTGTCCTTGCAGAATTCAGCCAGCCCCCCCCCCTTCCACAAGCGGGGAAGACGAGGAAACCCCTCCGGGCCTGCATCCCTGGGACGCCGCCCGAGAACAAAAAAGGGGCCACCGGACTTGGGAGGGCGTGTCGGGGCAACCCCAGCGCGCCACAAGGCGGGCGGACGGGCGAAGAGGGAGGGCGAGAGAAGCGAAGCAGCCGGGATCCCCCCCTCGCGCTCTTGCGCCCAGCCTGGGAAGCGCGGCGGCGGCAAGCGGGAACCCTGTGAGGGGCAGGGAAGGAAAGGCTGCCGCCGCCGCCGCCTTGGGTCTCCGTTATGAAACCGCGGCGTTCCCCGTCCCCGCCTCGCTATGGAGCCCAAGCGGTGAGGGCGGGAGTGGCCGGGCCGGGTAGCGAAGGGCTCCCCCCAGAGGGCCTGAGCGGCGGACACTGCGGGTCATCTGAGGCCTTCGGGGGGGGAGGGGGCGCCTGAGATCATAGCCCTGCGCCAACCCGCCTGTCAAAGTTTACCTCAGCCCGCTCGCCGAGGAAACCCGTCCTCCCGCCCTCGCCCTGGAGGATGAGGATGCTGCGGGTCTAGAGGGGTGTCGGCGGCGGCGGCAGCAGCAGCTGTTTCCCCCGCTCCCCCGCTCCCCTGACCGCGCGTGGGTCTCCTCACTCTGCCTTCCGTTCCTCAGGCCGCGGGGCTGCAGAGTCCAGCCTCCCGCCATCCACGAGGCGACTTGCCCGCGTTTCCTCAGAAGCAAGCAGCGACGGCGGTATAGTCTCCCAGGCCTCAGCAGCAACCTTCCACTTACCGCGCATGCGCCACCCTGGCACTTACCGGCAAAACAGTAGCTGCTGCTGCCGCCGCCGCCGCCAAGCCTGGGGCAAGCTTTCCCCTTGTGCGCGTGCGCTTCTGGCAACCCGCAACGGGAGCGAGCGCGGTCTCAGATCGGGCGAGCCCCCCTCCCCCACTTCCCCCTGAATGTCCCTTGGAGGCTACTAAGCATGCGCGATGGGCACATACTCCAGCCCAGGCTGCCGAGGGTGATTCCCGTTCGTCAAAAGCCGAGTAAGGACAAGGGGTGCTGTGCGCGTGCGCCGCCGAAAAGCTCCTAGAAAGGACCTTTTGCGCAGGCGTCCTAGCCGGGCGCGCCTGACCTCAGATTACCTCGCTTGGAACCATGAAGGCTAGGGAGGAACTAAGGCGAAATAAATAAAAGGGCGCTGCGAGGAGAGCTCGGTGCGCATGCGCGTAATGGAGTGCGGGAAAAGTGGATTGAATTTATCCCAAGGAGGAGCCACATTAGCATGTGAGATTATTTGTGCCGGCATGCAAGTGCCTTTAAAAGCGGGGGAGCTTCCGTCTGAGGAACGCGCAACCTTGACGATTTTAAGGCATGTGGACTTCAACTCCCAGAATTCCACAGCCAGCATTGCTGGCTGTGGAATTCTGGGAGTTGAAGTCCACATATCTTAAAATTGTCAAGGTTGAGAAACACTGCAAGGGGTCTCCGACCAACCTTAGCTGGCTGGGGAATTCTGGGAGTTGAAGTCCACAAATCTTAAACTTGCCAAAGTTGGAGACCCCCCCTCCACTAAGGGAGCCTCCCTCACACCTCTTTTTACTGTGGTGTAAGTTTCATTTGTACACCTCCTCTAAAGACTTCCCCTAAAAAAACACCAAAATAAACAAATGAACAGCGGAGATTATGCAATGACATTTAGAAAAGGGTGGATTTTTCGTAACAGCGTCACTAAAGAATTCTTCACATCTCACTGGATACTTGTGTCCCAAGATAGGTACCTCACAGTTTGCGAAACCCTGTTCTAAAATGTTTCTTATTATTCTGACACATTTCCCTCTTATGAGAATGAACAACACTGAGAAATGAAGCCCCTTCTTCAAACATTTGATCAATTATTTGCCATCAAGTTGATGCCAACTCAGTGACAACATAGGTAGATTTTCTCCATGATAATCTGTCCCTAACCTGGTCCTTCAGATCTTCCAATGGTGCGCCCATCATCACTGTCACAATGTCCACCCACCTTGTTTCTTGTTCTCTTTCTCACTTGCTTTTCATCTTATATATTACTAAAGCCTTTTCCAGGAAGCTAAATCTTTGCATAATGTGTGAAGTATCTTAATTTGAGCCTAGTAGTCCTATGTGCCTTGAGTAAGAACTCTGGGTTGAATTGTTTGATGATCCATCGGTTGATTTTCTTGGCTATCCATCTCAAGTTTTGTCTAACACCCAGATTCATAAATGTCAATACTCTATCCTGCTTTGTCAAACATAGGATTTGTTTATAGTCTGGAAATAGGTTGGCTAGAATTTACACCTTGGAGAACTTTGACTATTACCACATGCATGACTCGATATCATTAAAGCTTGGTTTACTCCTTTTAGTTTGTTTGTTCATAAGTAATATTTTCCCCACGTTGCTAAGCAACTTTTACCAAACTGACACTTGACTTCCCACATATTTTTTTTTTCAAATATACAAACTGTATAAACACATGTTCCAAATTAAAAAATAAACAGGTTCCCTTCATCCTTGCCATTCTGGAAAGTTATGATCCAAATCACCTCTAAGTTTCATCATGCTGGTTCAAAGTGGTTGAATTATAGATTGCTTATTCTATACAGATAGTCCTTGACTTACGACTACAGTCAAGCCCCAAATTTCTGTTGCTAAGTGAGGCATTTGTTAAGTGAGTTTTGCCTCATTTTACAATCTTTCTTGCAACAATTGTTAAGTGAATCACAGCTGTTGTGAAGTTAGTAACCCGGTTGTTAAGTGCATCTGGCTTCCCCATTGACTTTGCTTGTCAAAAGGTTGCAAAAGGTGATCACATAACCCAAGACACTGCAATTGTCATAAATATGAGTCAGTTGCCAAGTGTCTGAATTTTGATCTCATGGGTGGCCACATTGGTCATAAGTGTGAAAAATGATCATAAGTCACTTTTTTCAGTGCTGTTGCAACTTCAAACGATCACTAAACAAACTGTTGTATGTCAATGACTACCAGTACTTTTTTGTGAACCATCCAAAGTCAATTAATTGGGGCGGTATAAAAATTTTGCAAATATATAAAGATAGAGGAAAAATAACTACAGGTGGTTCAGACATTGCTTGTGTCTATATTTCATCTAGAGAAATCCCTTTATTTATGTTGGGAAAGAGAAATACTGAAGTTAAGAATTAAAATTAGTATTCTGTATTTTAAAAAAAACTTTAGTAATTAGAACAAATGCCACATTTAGTAACCAAAAGATCAGACCCAAATGAGGCGAAGGAATTGTAGAGATCTAGTATATTCTAGGTAAGAGACTATAAATATCCTTAAGGGCCAAATAGGGAAACAACATTTAAGTCTTCTCCAGTGAAGTTCATTTGTCTGGAAGGTAGAACAAAAATAGCAGGTGAAGTTTCTCACTCTGAGTAAATGCCAAATGTGGTTGTGTTGTTTTCAGGAAAAACTGCAAATGTCTATAACACTGATTCTAATGTGAGATCCTATAAAACCTAGAAGTAATGCGCTTTGTAGAAATGTGAAAATATTGATAACTTTGGGGGGGAAAGTATGGTTTCCTGCAGCCAAATCATTTGCCAAGGAAGATTCATAGAAGTTTTGGGATTGGTTCTTTTTTTACCGAAAGGAATAGGTCGGCTTGATGGTGGCGAAGGGGTTTTTGTAGCAGAGTCAATGGTAAATGTTTGTTTCGAATGAGCTCATGGTTAACTGGAATCATTTCATGAACCACCCAAGAACTTCATTTTGTTTATTTGCGTGTGGCATTCTTAATTAGAGCTTGTTCCTTTGATGGCTTGCCCTAGCTCCAGTTCTTAGCTTTTGTTTTAATTTTATCTATTTAGCAGAGTAAGTTCTGTATTTCAAACAGGGTCCTGTTCAAAAGAAGCAGAATCACAATCATATATTTACAGGGGCTAAAGTGCTGTGCCACCTTCAGGTATGTGAATTCAGCGGGACTTACTTCATGCATAGGATTATGCAGGAGCCCCTCAACACTCAACTGCTCTCTTTTCAAGTGTTAGTGAAATGTTGTTTCCTTACCAAAGGCGTGTCCCCATTTGGTTGAGTTTGAATTGCTTATTGGAAATAATGATTCCTTTGAGGAAAAAAAAGGCTGAAACAAGGAAACAGAATGCAAGCCTCTGGTTGCATTCGGTATTAATTCATCTGTATGCTTTTCTGCCATTATAATTCCAGAGCTTTCTGCCATCAGCAAACATCTTTATTAATAGCTTCAGTGTAATAGCTTCAATTTTAAATTAAGGCCTTTGCTGATTCAAATTGCTAATTGCGTCTTTTTGTGAATAGGCATTAGAAGCGATTCTTCATTTCACATTCTTCATTCACACAGGGAAAATCATATTGTTTAAAGCTGACTCAAATCCTCTGCTGTAATAAAAGAACTCAGCTCAGCTGTATCCAATTCAGGCAAACTAATGTCTCTCGGGAATGAAATGAAAGATATTTTGTCCTTGATTTACGACCAGAACTGAGCCCAAATTTTCCCATTTTACGACCTTTCTTGTCACCGTTGTTAATTTAATCACTGCAGTTGTTAAATTAGTAACAAAGTTCTTAAGTGAATCTGGCCTCCCCATTGGCTCTGCTTGTCAGAAGGTCATCAAAAGTAATCACATGATCCTGGCACACTGCAACCATCATAAATATGAACCAGTTGCCCTGTATGTAAATTTTGATCACTTGACCATGGGGATGCTGCAGTGGTCGTAAGTGTGAAAAACGGTCATAAGTCCCTTTTTAAAGTGCCCTTGTAACTTTGAATGGTCACAAAATAAACTGTTGTAATCTGAGGATTACCTGTACAAAGAAATCACTAGGGAGATAATTTCACCACACAACATATACGTTGCAAAAAAATAGAGAAATCTCCTTATTTGAACAAAATCCGTTTGCTTATTTCACCATTAGTTCATCAGTGCACTGGGTGAAGGGAAGCAATGGGTCTAGTCCAGAAAGATATTCCTTCAAAATCATATCTTAGAATTTAAGATAATGCTCTTTAATAGAAATGGATTCGGAAACGGAATTAGTTAAAGATTGTATGGTAAAGTGGGCTCAAAATATTCAAGAACCGATTCCATTGGATACGTGGGAGGTAATTTGGGTTAGAAACGTAAAATTTACCCAGGCACAAAATTTAAGAGAAAATTTTTATAAAATGTTTTATAGATGGCATCTGGAACCTAAAAGGTTGTCTTGTATGTATCCTAATTTACAGCCCAAATGTTGGAGATGTGGTAGTTTGGATGCCAGTTATTTTCATATATGGTGGACTTGTAGAAATATAAAAGCCTTTTGGATTAAGATCTGGTGGAACATTCAACAGATTTTCAAAAGAAAGATAAAGTTTACCCCACAATTATTTTTATTGGGTGTTATTACAGATTGTGATGCTAAAGAAATTAATTTGATGTTGAATCTGTTAACAGCTGCTAGGTTATTAGTAGGGCAATATTGGAAGAAGGATTGTTTGCCTACTATAGAAGAATGGACGCTTAAAGTGTCAAATTTAGCAGAAATGGCTAAGATTTCTGCTTACTTGAAGGATCACTCACAAGAAAGGTACATTTCGGTTTGGAGAAGATGGATAAATTATATTCAGAACAAATATGGGACTAAAAAGTTTCATTTAGCCTATGAGTGAATTTTAGAGTTTTATTATGATATTATTAGCAGCAGTATTAGTATTAGTATTGTTTAATAATTTGGAAATTGTATGGTTTAATAATTAGGATATTAACTTGTTTATGTTCTCATTATTATTATGTTTATTTTTAATTTGTTTATATTTATGTTAAAGGAGAGTTGAAGTGTATTACAGACTTGGTTATTTATATAGTTGGTTAATGTTAATTAGATTATGATTATTATATTTATAACCCTGTACTCAGCTTTGGGAAGTGGGGGAGGGGGGGGTTGGGTGGGTTGGTTTATAT